AACATATGAAAAGGAAGATATAAAAATAAAGACATATCCAAATGAATCAATAATCAATCAATATTGGCTGAATATTTCCTACGTGCCAAAACAACCTAAATGAATATTTGGGTTTATATCTGTTTTTCTGTTACCACAAACAAAATACATTTTTGTATTTTAAATGAAAATATAAATACCAATAAGATATAAATACTAATTTTAAATGAAAGTATAAATACCAATAAAACTAATAATTCACATTTTTCTTGAGCTCCCCTCAAACCATGATAATAAGTTGAATACTGTATTGAAAAAGTCTTGTTTCCTCGAGATTAAAAGAGCATATAGGTATATTACAAAATAAATAAATTAAATCCTGTTATATATCGTTAGTATACCACTACAGGAAGTGGGAATTCCCCCAAAGCAAGGAAGTAAGTATTCTTGGCAGAAATTTGCCAATATCAAAACTATAGAAATTTTTAAAAACTATGTATTCCTCTTAACATAACAATTATACATTTACAAATTTATACCAAGAAAAAACATTAAATGTGTAATCAGAAGCTTCATTGCAAGGGCATTTGTTACCAGATGAAAAATTACTCTAAATTTCCAATAATACTATAAAGTATAATAGGGAATGAATATATTACAAATGTTGGGAAGCTACATAGCCATTTATATTGTGGATGAATATTAAAAGTGAGGGGGAAAAACTTGTGTTTCCAAGTAAGATGTAGCTGTCTACATCACTCCTGCTTCAGTAACTGGAGGAAATAAGAATATTATCAAAAACACATTTTTGCATACACTGGAGATCTAGGGAAGCAACAAAAAAATCACTGAAATAAACTCCAAAGAGGGAATTGACCTTCAAAGATGAGCTGAATTGCTGTTGTCTTTCACGGAAGCATTTGCTGATTCTGACCCTAAGATTAGGCTTGGGCTTGGCATGGGCAGAGAAACTCTGCCTATTTTAAACTTTACCAGGAAAAAGATAAACTAGTGGATTTCTTGATAAATGCATGGATTGGCATGAGAGTATAAAACCTGAAGGAGCCCCAAATGTGTGGCTGTTTTCTTCACAGGACATTCGCTGAATGCTGAGTTGTAGAGGAGGTTGGGGAGTGGAATAGAGCTGGGATGACAGAGTAAAATCTCCTGAGTATTTAGAAGAAAAGTTCCAATAGGGAAAGGAGTCTACAACAACCATAGGAAAAAGGTCTCCCCTTTAAGAAACTTACCACATTTTGGGCCGGGCACGGTGGCTCACACCTGTAATCCCAGACCTTTGGGAGGCCAAGGTAGGCAGATCACTTGAGGTCAGGAGTTCAAGACCAGCCTAGCCAACATGGTGAAATCCTATCTCTACTAAATATACAAAAATTTAGCCAGACATAGTGGTGTGTGCCTGTAGTCCCAGATACTTGGGAGGCTGAGGCAGGAGAATCACTCGAACCCTGGAATGAGTGAGCCAAGATTGCACCACTACCTTCCTGCATGGGCAACAGAGAAAGACTCTGTCCCCCGCAAAAAACAAAATTACCAAATTCTGGAGAATAAAGAGCTAAACGCAAAACTTCTAAGGACAGATATGAAATCGCTCACAGTATTTAAGGTATAAGAAGATAGAAATTGCCTTCCTATCACTTAGAAGCCCAAGAGGGTCACAGCTAAGAAGCAGAGACAAAACAGTCAATGTCAATGAAAACTAAAACCCAAACCCAACCCGACTCAACTGCATTTGTTGAGGTAATTACCCTCTTATCCTGTCTGGCTAACAGAGGACAGGGAGAATCTCTGTGAGTGAAAATAAAATCATCTCCAAGTCTCAATAATTTTTCAATACAAAATGTCTGCAATACAATATAGAAATACAAGACATGCAAAGAGCAAGGAAGTTGTGACCAATAAACAGGAGCGAACATAGACAAGAAAAGCTGACCTAAAGATAATTCAGATACTGGAGTTTGTAGACAAGGACTTTAAGATAATTATGACAAATATGGTAAACAACATAGAGAACAAGCAAAATGGATAAAATATATAAACAACTTCAAAAGAGAATCAGAATCAAAGAAATCACATAATCTAGCACCAAAACATACAATACCTGAAAGACCAGAATTCAATGTATGGGCTTACAAGTTAATTCAACAGAGTAGAAAAACAGTTTTGGTGAACTAAAATGCATGCAAATAGAAGGTATCTAAACTGAAGCAGAGAGATAGAAACACACACACACACACACACACACACACACACACACACACACACACACACACAACAGAGCATAAGAAACAGAGGAGACACAGTTAAATGGTCTAACCTATGCATTACTGTAGCCCCAGAAAGAGAAGAAAGAGAATATGGAGCACAAGAAATATGTGAAGATGTAATAGATAAAAAATTTCAAAACTGATGAAAACATCAACCCACAGATTCAAGAAGCTCAGGAAAACTCAAGTGGGATAAAATAAGATAATTACAGTCTAAATGCCAAAACACATAACCAAAATCCAAAAACACAGAGGAAAATCTTTTAAAATCAGCCAGAGAAAAAAGATACATTACTTTCAAAGGAGCAATAAAATTGACAGTAGACTTTGCCATACAAACTATGGAAGCCAGAATACAACATAGTGACATCTTTGGAGTAATAAAAGAAAAAAAAAGTCTAAAAAAGATAGTTTCAGACAAAAACTGGGAGAACTAGTTGCCAGCAGATCTGAACTACAAAAAAATACTAAAAGTGCTTCAGACTAAAGGAAAGTGATTTCATTTGGAAGCACTGAACGCAGAAAGAAAGAGTATCAGAAAGATTAATATGTGATTAGATATAAAATATATATATATTATTTAAGATCTATTGATTATTTAAATTGTTCCAAGTTTCTTTCATTGTTCAGGAGGCAGTAAAATACAAAATGTAAGGCAGACTATAAAAGTCAAGGATGCAGGTTGTAATCTTTAGGGAACACTCAAAGAATAATATGAAAACAATTACTAAAGTGCCAATGTAGGAGAAAGTGTTAATAAAAATAAAGCAAGAATAGAGGACTAAAGGAACAAAAAAACATATAAGACAAATGGAAAATAAATAAGACAAAGTCAATGTTATTGATATAACCCCAACTATCAGTTACCACATTAAATGTAAATGATCTAATCATTCCTAATGAAAGATTTTTCAAATTAGACTGAACAATAACAGGAAAAAATGCAATTGCATTCATTTTAAAAAGGCACACTGT